ATATCAGGTGTAATAAAAAGAAATCCATTATTTTTCCAATAGATGGTTTTAGTTATCTGTATCTCGCGTTGTATAAGTCCGATCGGGTTACACTAGATGGCGTTAGAAAGATGAGTTTTCGTAGTAAAAAAACTTTTCTGACAGTTTTGTGATTAATTGACTCAGTTTTGTTTGAGCGCGCGTCAAAGATGGACACTAGCAAAGAGAAAATACGCTATATTTTACAGTTTTTCTTCGATAAAGACGAAAACGCAAGCCAGGCGGCTGAAAATGTGAATAGTGTTTATGGTTCTGATACTGTAACAGCCAATCACGCGCAATTTTGGTTTCGTCGATTCCGTTCCGGTAATTTCGATGTCAAAGATGCACCACGCACTGGAAGGCCAATTGTCGAAAATATCGATAAAATCATGGACATTGTCGAGTCCGACCGTCATGTAAGCACTGTTTCGATTGCCCAAGAGCTAAAGATTGCACAAAAAACCGTTTAGAACCATTTGAATAAGGCTGGATACAAAAAGGAGCTCGATGTATGGGTGCCACACGAGTTAATGCAAAAAACCTCATGGACCGAATTTCCATCTGCGAATCGCTGCTGAATCGCAACAAAATCGACCCATTTCTGAAGCGGTTGGTCACTGGTGATGAAAAGTGGATCACTTACGACAACGTCAAGCGAAAACGGTCGTGGTCGAATCGCGGTGAGCCGGCGGAAACGGTGGCCAAGCCAGGATTGACGGCCAGGAAGGTTTTGCTGTGTATTTGGTGGAATTGGCAGGGAATTATCTACTATGAGCTGCTCCCCTACGGCAAAACTCTTAACTCGGAACTGTACTGTCAACAATTGGACCATCTGAAGGAAGCAATCGCCCAGAAGCGGCCAGCTTTGGCCAATAGGAGAGGAATTGTGTTCCATCAGGACAACGCCAGGCCACACACATCGATAGTGACTCGCCAGAAGCTCCGGGAGCTTGGTTGGGAGGTTCTTATGCATCCACCTTATAGTCCGGACCTGGCACCAAGTGATTACCATCTGTTCCTGTCCATGGCGAACAATTTTGCTGGTAAAAATTCGCTTCAAGAGAGGCTTGTGAAAATCAACTATCTCAATTTTTTGCCAATAGGGACGCGGGCTTCTATGAAAGAGCCATAATGAAATTACCTTCAAAATGGCAACAAGTTGTCGAACAAAACGGCGCATATTTGACCTAAATCGGATCATTCTAACTTTGGTAATTAAAGCCTTCAATTTCATGCAAAAATAATGGATTTCTTTTTACTACACTTGATATACTATAAATATACTCGGAATATACCAAAAGATATTCTTAGTAGATTCTAGTAATATGCTCAAAACGTTCTGTTGATATACTGATAATATACTAAAAGATATTCTCAGTATATACTGAGTAGCTTCTATGGAATACATTAGAACATCCTCAGTATATTCTCAGAATATCGTAGTACATTTCGAATATTCGTAGAATATACGCAATCTACGTTCACGATATACTGAGTATATACTCAGAATCTACCGATGCTGTATGGGATAATCTAAAATACCAATAATAAGACATTAGAACATCAAACCTGTCTTTTATATTAATACATTTTGTATTATAATAAAAACAATAGTTAAAAATAACAAGTAAATTTTCAAAAACAAACCTTCAGTAAAAACTGCCAGATTTTCGTTAGACATACTCGGTGTAGATAAAGAGCAACTGGCCTGGGAGCAATTGGTGAGCTCCCTGGACGACGATCCGTGGGGGCGCCCTTACAAAAGGGTGACCGGGAAGGTTCGCCCCTGGGCGCCCCCACCGTCCGAGGTGATGGACCACCAGGCCCTCAACGGGCTCCTGGATGCCCTCTTTCCGAGGGCAGAAGGGGGCCCACCCAGGATTCCTCCTCCAGAAATGGGGGAGGGAGACTGGGACGGGGGCTTGGAGGTCAGTCCAGAGGAGCTCGCCGGGGCCAGGAAAAGGCTCGGGGCCAAGGGCAAAGCCCCTGGCCCCAACGGGATTCCTGGCCGCGCCTGGGCCCTCGCACTCGGCGAGGAAAACCTGTTCGCAGCCACGCGCAGGGTTTTAAGCGGGTGCCTCAGAGAGGGGGTATTCCCCCCAGAGTGGAGGAGGGCCAAATTGGTCCTCCTCCCCAAGGAGGGCCAAATTGGTCCTCCTCCCCAAGGAGGGCAAAGCACCCGGTAGTGCGTCGGTCTACAGGCCGATATGCCTACTGGACGAGGCGGGCAAGTTACTCGAGCGCATCATTGCCGACCGCCTCGTCCACCACCTGTCCTCGGAGGGGCCGAACCTCCACGACCGCCAGTTTGGGTTCAGGCCCGGGAGATCTACGCTGAACGCAATCCAATGTCTCCGGGGCCTGACCCAGGCGATCGTGGAGAGGGACGGCGGGGTGTTGTTGGCGGTTTCCTTGGATATAAGCAACGCCTTCAACACCCTGCCGTGGCCGGAGATAGGGCGGGCGCTCGTGCATCACGGCGTGCCCGCTTATCTCCGGCGTATCCTTTCGACTTACTTCGGGGGCAGGGACCTCGCCTTCCCAGTAGAGGGCGGGGTCCAGGGCCGGCGCACCATGGAGCGCGGTGTTCTGCAGGGGTCTGTCCTAGGCCCCCTGCTATGGAACATCGCGTTCGACCGGGTGCTGAGAACTCCGCTCCCCCCGGGCTGCCACGTCATCTGCTACGCAGATGACGCATTAGTGGTAGCCGGGGGGAGAACTAGGGGGAAGCCCGCCTCCGCGCGGAGACGGCACTGGTATCGGTGGTGGGCACCATAAAGGACTTGGGCCTTTCGGTGGCGCTCCAAAAGACCGAGGCCGTATATTTCTACGGCCGAGGTCGAGGGGCGCCTCCGGAGACCCAGGTCCTTGTGGATGGCGTCCACGTCCACGTCGAGCCGACGATAAAATATCTCGACCTGACGTTGGACAGTCGCTGGAGTTTCGGGCCCCATTTTGGGAACCTGGCCCCCCGGGTGCGCAAGGCGGGTCTGGCGGTAGCCAGCCTCATGCGCACCCAGGAGGGTCCGGGTTGAATGGCACGCCGCCTGTATGTCACGGCCGTGCTCTCGGTCGCCCTATACGGGACGCCCATATGGGCGCCCAACCTCTTGGTCTGCCGGAGGGAAAAACGCTCCCTCCGGCAGGCCTTGAGGCCGGTGTTAATAAGGGCGATCCGGGGGTATCGGACCGTGTCATATATGATGGCGACCACCCTGGCCGGTGTCCCGCCCGTGGAGCTCCTTGCCGATGAGAGGGCAATCCTCTATTGGCGGGTGAAGGAGCTTCGCGGGGAAGGGACGCTAACGGCCAGGGATTTGAAGGGCCTGAAACTCCAGGCCAGGGACCGGACCATTCGGAAATGGCAGGATGAACTGTCGGATCCGAAGGTGTCCGGTCCTGCAACGGCCGCGGCTGTCCGCCCCTGCCTGTCCGAATGGACGGGCAGGAGGGGACATGGAACAACTTTCCACCTGGTGCAGATGCTGACCGGACACGGTTGCTTCGGTCGGTATCTGCACCGGATCAGAAAGGAGCCCACCACTCGATGCCACCACTGCCTCATTCTCGAGGACACGGCGCATCACACCTTGTCCGCATGCTCGGCATGGGACGGGGAGCGCAGTGTCCTCGAAGGGGTGGTGAGGTGCCGAAGGGGGGAGCTCTCGCTCCCGCGCATGGTTGCGGCCATGTGCGGGAGCGAGGAGGCGTTGGATGCAGCGGCCTCCTTCTGTAGAGAGGTCCTCTCGCAAGAGGAGACCGCGGAGTGGGGGGATAATGCAAATGCCGGCGGTACTGCAACTTTGAAGCTTTATTACTCGGGATGTACTTAACAAAAAGATACTTTGTTGTAGTGTTTTGGGAAGCTCTTGCAATACGTTATAAGAATATGCCAAAAAAAGTAGGGCTATCTATTTGAAAAATTGTTGGTGACCTTCACGTAACCTTCAAATGGCTAATCAAGGTCTAATCAATGATACCTTCTTATGTCCCATTTGACACCATACAACTTCTGTCTGAAACATTTTTCTCTAAAATTATTCATTTCCAAGATATAAGTCTGTAACACTTTAATTGACTCACCCTGTGTATGTTATAATATATATTTTTTAAATTAGTTTAACATATAAATGAACTCTTTATACATATATAAATATACATATAAATGAACTCTTGACAAACTTGTACTGCCTTTATAAACTATAAACTGTATAAATTATAACTCTTCATAAATTATATATACAGGGTGTTTGATAACTGATCATGCAGACGAAAGTTGAAGATAGATTGAGTGTAGCCGAAAAGAAAAGTCATGTATCATAATATCAAATTGGCAATAGTTATCGAGATATTAATTAAAACATGTGAGCCAACGAGCGCGTAGAGAGCGGAGGGCGACCGCAGTAAGCACATAGACATTTGATACAGGCGGAGTCAGCGAGTAACGGTAGGCGAGCGCGCGCGGCGAGGGGCAACGTAAACAACAAGAGGCGAACGCGCGCGACGAGGAGCGAGCGAGCGCGAACGACGAGGAGCGAGCGAGCGCGACGAAGAGCGAGCGAGCGCAAACGACAAGGAGCGAGCGAGCTATAAGGAAAAAGCTATAAGGAAAAAGCTATAAAGAAAAAGCTCGCTCGCCCCTCGTCGCGCGCGATCGCCTCTTGTCGCTTACGTTGCCCCTCGCCGCGCACGTTTGCCTACCGCCACTCACTGACTCCGCCTGTATCAAATGTCTACGTGCTTACTGCGGCCATCCTCCGCTCTCTACGCGCTCGTTGGCTCACATGTTTTAATTAATAACTCGATAACTATTGGCAATTTGACATTATGATACATGACTTTTCTTCTCGGCTACACCCAATCTATCTCCAACTTTCGTTTGCATGATCAGCTATCAAACACCCTGTATATATATATGTAAAATCTAAACTAACTCAATTATTTTCTTGTTTATTTGCACGTTCCTTTGCATGAGCCGGCCAGATCTTGATGGGAGCAGAAATTTGTTCGTCTGTTGCAGTTGTATGCTACTTTCTTATCACACCTGGAATATAATACTTAAAAATCAGTGTAATTAGAGAGAGAGAGAGAGAGAGAGTATGTTTTCTTTAAATAAATATCTGTTCTCATTTAAGTTGCTTAAAAGAAAATTGAAAAATTTTATGTTAATGTAAATATATAAATAAAGAGATTACTTAAATATTTGTTTAATTGTTTAAACATTTGGAAATTATTTAGAAAAGGCATATCGCCTCCGATTTTGCTAAAACTCACGTATCATATATATTTTGACTCGTAGAAACCGGATCCAAAAGTAAAAATAGTTACTCAACTCTATAAAGCAAGAAAAAAATTGTTAAATATAGAGGTATGATAGGTTAGGAAACCTGTCATTGCGAGGTAAAGTTTCTTCGTTGTACTTACTGTATTAGTGTAGCGCAGTATACAACTAAACTTTTATAATTATTGTACACAAGATAGGTCTTATTTTGAATTGTACACAAAATAATTCCTATTTTATGTACAGTAATTATAAAAGAATATATCTTTAAATCTTCGTCTTACTAAATCAATGAGTCTACCATACATTAAAATGACAAATTCTGAAAAGATTAGCAAAGGCCCCTATGCAAGGTGACATGTGACAAAATTATTTATATAAATATTCTTAATTTAAGTATTTTCATTAGTTGTTATACTGCATTACACTAATACAATAAGTGTAACGAACAGACTTTACCCTGCAATGACAAGTTTCTTAACATATCATATTCTATCTTAAACAATATTTTTCTCGTTTTGTAGAGCCGAGCAATGATTTTTAATTCAGATTCAGCTTCTACACGTGAAAATACATAAAATATGTGAATTTTAGCAAAATCGGAGGCGGCGTACTTCTTCTAAATAATTATCAATTATGCTATTAATTAAAAACTAAGATTTACAATTCTGTATATATATTCTGATTGTATATTTTACTTCCATATAATTACTTTACACAATTGTAAGTTGCTGAAGACATTTTTCTTTTTCGCTCCATACTAGCTGTATTCCATGGCTAATTCATTGCTGAAGATTTGTCTCATTAATCTTATACACGATGTTTTTAAATCCTCGCATACAACTCGAACCAATTGTTTAATCTGAAATGTAAGTACAGAGTTAATATTAATTCAATATTTCATCTAATGACATTTATTAATTTATATATATTATGACTCTATGGATCCTCTCTGACTATCTTTATTTAATTATGTCAAAAGTAAGAAATTGCACGACAAAAATTATTACAGCATACGTTAAAATAAAAAGATATGTCTATTAAACAACAGTTTCTCTTCCAATCGAGTCAAAAAAATATGTAAAATGTTCCGAATATTTTCCTGTTATTATGATAATGAATAGTTATATAATTAAAGTGTTAAAATACAACTTAAGTTTTAATCTATATTTTTGTGATTTTTATTACGTTACTTAACAGCTATATTGAATAATAAACAAATATAAAGTACCATATTTTTTCTATAAGTTGAGTCATTCTTTAACTTTGTTTCTATTACTTCAAGTTCATTGTCACTTTTAACTGGTAAATTCTGAAAAATGTCATCTTCCCCTTCTTCTGTGTCAATAGTAGGAACTGACCGCTTATGCAAAAGAAGTTTTACATTTCTGTCTACTGCATTGACTTTCATTTTTAAAGATATTAATGTTTCAACAACAAATCGGTGAAAATTTTCTGTTCCTATGAATTAATAAAAATATTACACTCTTATATAAATATATTGATAAGCCGCAAAATCAATAAATTTGAATAAAGAAGAGATAACAATAAACTGTCGAGATAATGTAAAATTATAATTTAATATATAATAATAATACTTCTACTTATGCTTGCTTACTTCTGTAATCGAAAACATTTCCACAAAAGCATTCTCAAATAAAAATGAATCACATGTTTCAAATCAAATAAAAAATTTATAAAAGTTACTAACATACCTTGACAATTACCAATGTCCAGATCACTAAGTTTGTTGCTTGCTTGTGCTCGGTACATTTTCGTAATTTTTATTAATTACATAATGCTCCGTTTACATGTTATGCTTCGGTTGCTTGTGAAACAAATCTTGTGGAAAATCATCTTGTTGCAATACTAAAAATAACAAAAGATTTATTTATTACATATTATCTGATCATGTTTTATTAATAGGTAATAATAATGCTTCTATTTATATTTGCTTACTTCTGCAGTCGGAAACATTTCCACAAAAGCATTCTCAGATAAAAATGAATCACATGTTCCAAATCAAATAACAAATATATAAAAGTTACTAACATACCTTGACAATTACCAATGTCTAGATCACTAGTTTGTTGCTTGCTTGTGCTCGGTAAATTTTCGTAATTTTTATTAATTACATAATTCTCCGTTTGCATATTATGCTTCGTTTGCTTGTGAAACAAATCTTGTGGAAAATCATTTTGTTGGGATACTAAAAATAACAAAAGATTTGTTACATATCATCTGATCATGGATGTTTTATTATATATCATCAGATTATAATATTATAAGATTATTATTATTATTATTATTATTATTATTATTATTATTATAAGATTATTATTATTATTATTATTATTATAAGATTATAAGATTATAAGATTGTCAATCTGTACTTAAATATATAGGAAACAATGTTATTAACGTTTATGAAAGTAGATATATTACAAAAATTAAAAGGAAAATTTATAATATTTAGGAACAAAAAGCAAGACTATAAAATTCATATGGTCTCTTGCACATGTCGGGATTCCGGGTAATGAAGCAACGGATAAGTTAGTAAAAGAAGGAGCTATGGAACCATGTAATGAAAATATAATCCCTGACAGCACAAGAACTTCTGGGAATGTCCCAAGAACATTCTAAGGATATTGCTATATCCTTAGAATGTATGCAGGATGTTCCCTGGATATCTGTGCTGTTAGAAACAGTGCGTTTTAAAGATTTAAGAGTTTTTTTTAAACAAGAAATATGGTCTAACACACAAAAGAGTCTTATTAGAGACTCAGGATTCAAAGATATTAAATATTTTGGGAGATTTTATAACAGAGAAGAGAAGTAACCATGATTTAGGAATTTCAACGAAAAAAGATATTTTGTTACTTTCATCAACAGGTTAAGAGCTAACCATTATAATTTTAATGAGTCTCTTCACAGAAAGGAGTATATATAGATAGCACTAAGTGTGACTGTAGATATGAAAGAGAGAATATTGACTATATGATATAGTGGTGCAGTAAATATAATGAAGAAAAAGTTAAGTACGACAAAGAATTAAGGAAAAAAAAGAATAAGAGATAAACGCAACATTATTATATGGATTAAGGAAGAAAATTGAGACGCAGTCTGAATAACTTATAACTATCAAGAAAATAGGAAAAATAGTGTAACAACCTGAAGTTAATTATTCTTGTGCCACATAACCCTGAAAGACAGGTTGAAAAAAATATAAAATTTTATACAACGAATTGGCCTATTTAACAAAATAGCTATTGAGGTACAAATTTATTAATGCATAATATTTATTTTATAAATAAAATAATATATAAATACTAGCTATAATATATAAATAATATATAAATAAATAAAATATAATGTTATTTTATAAATAAAATAATTATATAATTATTACCTTATATTAAGGATCTACAGGAGCCAGAGACAAATCCAGCGTTGACTTTGGAGGCCTCGTGCGGCGAGGTCGCGAACCAACACCGTGCGCGCGAGCGCAAGAGCAGGAAGGTTGGGTCAAGTCAGTTTGACAAGGACGAACAATCGATCGCACTGTCCTTGTCTTACTCACTCGGGCATTTCCCCGGCCGATACACGGCGAGAAAATGCTTTTCAGGCTTTTGGGTGAGTGAGCCAAGCGTCGCAGCGACTTACGTGCAATACCATTTTACAAATTGACGTATTTTGTCTAGCTAACAGTTATATATCACCGCCAAATTATTATAGCATGTTCCTTATATCATTCCCGAGATCCCCACAAAGCCAGATTTTGCAATCCGGCCGTCCAAAATTTATGAAAAATAAATGAAGCGTCCGCCGTACCAAGCATCGCAGCGAATCACTCCAAAAATTATTTTACAAGATGCAAAATTTCGTCTCGTTGACGATACGTATAATTCCTAACTTGTTACAGCATCTTCCTTGAACTAACCCTGAGGACCTTACACAGCCAGATTTTATAATCCGGCCGTCCAAAATTTATAATATATGAATAAAGTATCAGCCATACCAGGAGTTGCAGCGAGTCAGGTGGAATACCATTTTACAAGAAGCAATATTTTGCCCTATTGACGTAATATATGACCATGAACTTGTTATAGCATCTTCCTACAACTATTTCCGAGATCTCTACAGAGTTAGATTTTACAAATAGGCTATCAACAATTTATTATACATAAATAAAGCGTCAGCTGTACCAAATCGCAGCGAGTCAGGCGGAATACAATTTTACAAGAACAGATATATTGCCTCGTTGACAATATATATAATCGCCAAATTATTATGGTATCTTCCTTGAACTATCCCCGAGAACCCTACAGAGCCAGATTTTGTAATCCGGCCGTCAAAAATTTATCATACATTAATAAAGCGTCCGCTGTACCAAGCATCGCTGCGAGTCACTCGAAATATCATTTTACGAGATGCAATATTTCTCTTTGACGATACGTATTACCAAATTGTTGCAGCATCTTCTTCGTACTATTCCCGAAATCGGTACAAAGCCAGATTTTGCAATCCGGTCGTCAAAAATTTATAATATATAAATAAAGCGCCCGTCGTACTCCAACGTAGGCGTTGGAGCGAATCAGTTGAAAAATCATTGTAGGAGATGCAAAATTTCACCTCCTTGACGATATGTTTCACCGCCAAATTGTTATAGCATCTTTTTTAAACTATTCCCGAGAAACCTACAGAGCCAGATTTTGCAGTGAGGCTGTGAGAAATGTATCATAAATAAATAAAGATTTATGAAGCGTCGGGGCGGATCACGTACAATACCATTTTACAAAATGAGATATATTACTTCACTGATGTAATATATCATCATGATATTGTGTTATAGCATATATCTAAAACTATTCCCAAGATCCGCACAAAGCCAGATTTTGCAATCGGGCTGTCTAACTTTTATTATAAATAAATAAAGATGCATCAAGCGTCAAAGTGGATCACGCGAATACAATTTCACAAGTGATATTCCGCCTTGTTGGCGTAATACATGTAACCGCCGAATTGATATGAAATATTCCTTGAACTATTATCGAGGTCCCTACAGAGCCAGTTTTTGCATTCCGGCCGTCAAAAATGTATCATATGTTAATAAAGCGTGTGTCGTACGAAACATCGCAGCGAGTCCCGCGAAATACCATGTTACAAGAAAAAATATTTTGCCTCGTTGCTGTCATATAACAGCACCAAATTGTTATAACCTATTCCTCGATCTATCCCCGAGGTCTCTACAAAGTCAGATTTCGCAATCAGGCCGCCTAACATTTATCGTATATAAAAGACTGTACCGGGCATTGCAGTATGTCACGTACAATTTTGGAACATGAGAAATATTGTCTCGTTAATGTAATATATCACCATCAAATTGTTCGGCTGTATTCCTTGTATTATTTCTAACGTCACTATAAAGCAGGGTTTTGATTATTAACACATATATATATATATATATATTATAAGCGACTGTACGGGACAACAGTTAACTGTTAACTGTTAACTCCTACAAGTAACTGTAGGGACCATTAAAGTTGTTGTAATATTAGAAGTTTATTAATGAATTTATTTTTATTTCTTATATTTCAGGACCGATTTTGTAAATATATATATAGGGTACTAAATTTCAAACGTAACAGGTAAGAAATCTAGAAAACTATGAAAGATATTAAAGAAAGCTAAAATACGTGTTCCATGATTTCGATAGGGAAAGAGAATGGCATTATCAGTTTTTTATTTGGAAGGCATTTTCAAAGTTAGTTGAAGGTCAACTTAATTTTTTTAAGTTGAAAGCCTAATTTTTTATTATATCTTCTTTTTCTACCAATTAATTTGAACAACTTTTGTCTGAAACATTTTTTTATTTGCCTAATATTTTTTTAGAAATATTTAATGGAAACTTGGTAACTTTTTCAACATTTAACTTACGATATCTCGCTAACTATTCGTCAACAGAAAAAATAGTATTAGACTTTTTTACTTTATTTACTATTAAGAATATATTACTATAATCAAGAATAATGTATTACTCTAATAGTGTCCTAACTTTTGTTAATGTAATAATTCTGAAATTTCCAAAGGTCTATAAGTTAACAAAAGTTAGAGCACTATTATAATAATATATTCTTGATAGTAAATAAAGTAAAAAAAGTCTAATACTATTTTTTCTTTCGACGAATAGTTAGCGAGATATCGTAAGTTAAATGTTGGAAAAGTTACCAAGTTTTCCTTAAATATTAAATATTTCAAAAAATATTAGACAAATGAAAAAATGTTTCAGACAAAAGTTGTTAAAATTAATTGATAGAAAAAGAAAATATAATAAAAAATTGGGTTTACTACTTAAAAAAATTAAGTTGACCTTCAACTCATCTTGAAAATGCCCTCCAAATAAAAAACTGATAATGCCATTCTGTTTCCTCTTTGAAATTATGGGGCACGTGTTTTAGTTTTTTTTAATATCTTTCATAGTTTTCGAGATTTTTTACCTGTTATGTTTGAAATTTGGTACCCTACCCCCCTCCTCCCATATATATTTACAAAATCGGTCCTGAAATATAAAAAATAAAGATAAATTCATTAATAAACTTCTAATATTACAACTTTAATGGTTCCTACAGTTACTTGTAGGAGTTAACAGTTAACAGTTACCTATTGTTATGCCGTACAGTCGCTTATAATATATATATATATATTTTTTTTTATATATATATATATATTATTAACACACACATATATATATATATGTGTGTGTTAATAATCAAAATCCTGCTTTATAGTGACGTTAGATATAATACAAGGAATACGGCCGAACAATTTGATGGTATATTACGTTATATATATTACGTTAACGAGGCAATATTTCTCATGTTCCAAAATTGTATTGTACGTGACATGCTGCAATGCCCGGTACAGTCTTTTATATACGATAAATGTTAGATGGCCTGATTGCGAAATCTGGCTTTGTAAAGACCTCGGGGATAGATCGTGGAATATATTATAACAAGTTAGTGCTGTTATATGACAGCAAAGAGGTAAAATATTTTTTCTTGTAACATGGTATTTCGCGGGACTCGCTGCGATGTTTCGTACGACACACGCTTTATTAATATATGATAAATTTTTGATGGCCGGAATGCAAAATCTGGCTCTGTAGGGACCTCGATAATAGTTCAAGGAATATTCCATATCAATTTGGTGGTTACATATATCGTCAACGTAACAAAATATCTTATGTTTTACAGTGGAAGCTGGAAGGTATTCATGCACATATCCACGGCAATACTTATGCACTGCTCATATATACCCTAATACTAATGCATTGCTCGCGCGAACGCAAGGCAGGAAGGTTAGGTCATATAGACTGCACCATAGTGCAGCTAGGCTACACTTTCCATGTATTTTTCCGTGTAGCATATTTTGCCACGCAGACATCATATTTGCTTATCAGACTTACATAGGCATCTTCCTTATATTAGTATCTAGGTCGGTACAGAGCCTGATTTTGCATTTAGGTTCTTGAAAATTTGTAATAAATGAAAATATAGGCTCGTGCTGCACCGCGGGATGCACTTTCGTTCAAAATTTTTATTCGATTTTTATTCAGACCTTTTTTCCAATAAAGCGCTCTGTACGAGCATGCGGACGTTCCTCCTGATTACAAATATCGTACATATAAGGTGATTCTCTTCGTATTTTGTTCATAATTTGCAATATAATTTTGCCTAGTTCGCGGGTCTCCGCAAGAGGTCTCTAGTAGGCTCCTGTAGACCCTTAAGATCTTCGTATACGACGTGACTACGTGCGTTCAGATGGACACGGAAAGCGGAGAGTGGAGTAGAGAAGCATTAAAAGCCATCCAATCAGAATCTGGTGGAGGTCCGATTCTGATTGGATGGCTCTAGACAGCACAAGATCTCCTAAGAACATCCTAGGGACGTCCTGAGGATGAAGAAACATCCCGAGGTCATCTTCAGGGCGTACTCTGAACGTTTCTTGGATACCTGTGTTGTTAGAGACCTTCTACAATATAAAGCAATTAGTCAAAAGCCGTAAGCAAATTGACCAATCACATTTGATTATTTTTTAAATAATCAACTGTGGTTGGTCAATTTGCTTCCGTCTTATTGCTTATTGTAGAAGGGATATGTCCGATTAATGATTAAAATATTGTTGATAATATTAGAATATTTCCAGAATATTCGATAAATGAACTGAATATTATTGATGAATTACGTATATTCTAAAAATATATGAAAAATAATATACTACGAAAAATATTATGGGGATATTCTCAGTATATTAGATATATCTATAATATATTTAGTATGAAAATAGTATATACGAATAATATCATGTGTTGTGTGGGTATAGGCTCAGTCAATACAGAGCATCTGTTATATTACATATGTTATAATAGGCTTATTCTTTATTACTACATTACTGCACTAATTTTTGATGATGCCAACGAATTTACCAGTTTCTTCTAATTTCT